ACACTGAAAATGTTGGCTTGGGGCCTGCTGAAAACATCATCTGGAGGAAGGATGAACAGCTCAGTGACGAACAGCTCTCTTATCCCCCCCTCCCACTGCAGCCCCAAATGCCCCTCGGAAATGTACAGGGGACCCCCAAGAAGACCACGAGGAAAATAATATAATTGCTGTGGGCAGGTCCAGCACTAGGTGAATTCTCTGATCCCCCTGACCAAGCCCGCACGATGAAGTGTGTAGGGGCCTTGCATGATAATAAACCAGTCATCTATCACCTGGCATTTTTCAGTTTTGTTCTACTGACACATGGCTGGCCGTAACCCAGGTTTTCTTCATCCTTGGATTTACCAATAAAAACTAGACAATCAGGTAAAAACAATCTTTAATTGGCTGACAACTGCAGCATGCACATTCTTTTTTCCGTGTGGAGCTGCAGCCTGGCCTGGATTTAATGGAACAGCTTGTGTGCGTGAAGGCGCTGTGCGCATGGCAATAAGAATGCAACTCAGCCTGTTTCAGGGCAACTGAATCAAAGGATTATGTGCCATCACACAATAAACACAGTACTTCTCACATCAATGGCTTGGCACCCACCACAAACAGGCTAATTATTTCTAACTGATACGTACATGAAATAAGCACACTATCTACGGCCAGCTGGCTCCTGATAAATTTCCTAAGTGGTTCTCTGTGGTGAACAAGAGCTGAGCATGAAAGCAAGGTTGATGTGCAGGGTGTCAAGTGGCACACCTCAGTGGCTTGAGCTTGGCTTAAATGTTAATGAAACGCTGTTGATGCAGAACCTCTGCCCAGATGGCTCAGGACCGTCACTGAACACGTGGCCCAGGTGGGCATCGCACTGCAAGAGAAAAGCAGACTTGATCTAACAGAAGCACATCTGCATAAATCAAACGGGGATCGATTCCATCACTAAAGGGGCCCATTACCTCTGCAACTGCCATATAATCACGACTTCCCATATTTAATACCAGTTTTTGCCCCCTTTAGACTGTATGCTTTGGGTACATCCGGATAAACCAGATAATCTGTGTAATTTCTCCTGGATAAACTTGTTTGGGGGGGGGGAGAGAACCCAGCCCTCAGCTCCAATGAGGGGGCTTCCTCTGTCAAAAGTAGTTGTAGAGAAAATCCCACTTTGAACCAGCTCAAAACATAAACGAAGCAGAGATGGGAAAGAATGTCCTCCTGTTTTCAATCTGTGTCCCGCTATTTTATTAATCGCATTTCCGCAAGACGGAAATCAGTGCTGATGCCTGGAGTATCTGTGTCAACCAATGGGGAGATAGTTACATTTCCCATCTTTTTTTTTTTATGTCAACTTTCCCAGCCATTCATCACGTTTAATTTTTTGAAAATTTTACACAGTACAAGATTGGTCCCAGAAGTTCCTACATATGGTTCACCTGGGACCAATTACATGATAAGTGGAAGTATCTTTCTTTATTGCATTTTTAGCCCTTCTTTCCTCCAAGGAGCTCTGGGTGGCGTCTTTAGATGGATTCATGCAATTAAACAAATGAATGTGTTCCCCCACACACACACACACTTTTGTATCAGACAATGATAAGACGAAAGAATGCCACATTTACTGATGACATTTTTTGCTTCCTTCCATGCAAATATGCCATGAAGAATAAGAGTGTAACAAGACTCCTATACATTACCCAAGCGGATCCACACAGCCTCTTAAAATTTGGGAGAACCATTAAAATAAAACTTCCCCCCCCAGTTGTTCCCCTCAGTTACAAGTTACAGTTGGTGTAGCAGGTATACAGGCTTTGGGTTTGCTGCCATGAGGTTAGTTTTGTGGTGAGAAGAACATGGAGATCACTGAGGCAGTTGTACGGAAATAACAAAGAAGATTTATTTATGTGCACGTTGTTTCAAAAGTACAGTTCAGCAGCACAGATCTCCAGCAGTCACAGGAGAAGGCTGACTGAGGAACTTAAGTTAGTTATGGCTTCAGATTGTGATTTGAATTCCCTTTAATGCTTGTGGTTACAACCAGGCTTTTACTGCTTAGCCACCAGGTTGTATTCTTACACGCACACACATACACACACAGATGCCGCACAAACAGGATTCTACCCACACCGGCCTGCCCTTTTCCCAAGAGTCAAACTAAACAGGACTGGGTCTGCTCATCTCCCAAGACAATCCTCACAACTGGGTACTCTACCCACCACTCAGCCACACTGCCTGGCAGAGTTACCCTTCAATCCTCCTGTTCTTTTCCTGAGGCAGATCCAAACCACGACTGCGCTATCCTTGAGGCAGACCTGAACTGACTCCTGCTGCGCTTCCCTCCAACATTCCGTCCCCCCCCCCCCTCGGAAAGGTGATTGGATGATGGAGCAGCACTCCCATAGGCTCAGCTGGTGGGCTGTTTTACCCTTCAGGGGCAGGACAGCCTCCTGTCCATCACCGATAGCATACTGAAGTTCAACATGGGGTTTGGATCCCTGTGGGGGCCACACAACCTACTTGGGGGGTCAGTCTAAGTGACCTCGCAGAATTTTGAGAGGGGAAAGAATGGGAGAACCGCTTCCACATACACCACCCTAAGCTCCTTGGAGGCAGGGTGGAATATAAATGTGATGAGTGAAATGTACCTGTTTGCAAAGGACTTCTGTGCCAGTTGATCCTAGTGAGTTATCAGGCCGCCTCAGGATAGAAGTGTTGCTTTCATCGGTCCCACACGTCCCATGTGCTTCTGAAAAGGAAGGCCATCCGGTGCCAGAATCATACTTCTTCTCTGAGCTATTAAGAATGACAAAACCGAATATTACTGGCTCTACTTTGTTGTATATAAACATGTTCCATAATGTTAACAAGGACCATTATTACTCCTAACTACATTGCGTAATTATTCCCTTCCCCAGGGGTCTTTCCCACTGGACTCCTGATATTTATCCTCCTAACTGGAGGATAATTTTTGTGCTCAAATATGCAATACTAAAAACCTTGCATAAAAGGAAATCTGACTAACCCAGTGGGGGTTATTTCCACGATGCATGTAGGGTTGGGAAAAGGGCTAAATCCAGTTGTTCTGGCCCAACAGGGTTATAGTCAGAGCTGCCCATTGACTGACTTATGGTGACCCCGTGGGGTTTTCAAGGCACGAAACATTCAGAGGTGGTTTGCCATGGCCTGCCTCTGCCTAACGACCTGGGACTTCCTTGGCGGTCTCCCAGCCAAGTACTAACCAGAACTGACCCTGCTTCGCTTCCCAGACCTGATAAAAGCTAGCTAGCCTGGGCCATCGTAGGTCAGAGAATTTCTTCCCCATTTGTATTTATGCCTTCCTCCCCAGTGGGGTCCCAGAGTGGCAGACATTATCCCCCCATCCTACCATTTTATCCTCACAACCAACCCTTGCTGACCAGAAGCTAAGAACAAAGGAGTATTCACACTTTAATTAAACTTAGCTTTTCCAGTACAATAGAAGCTGAAAATAAGACTATTTGGAACTGTTCTAGAGATCAAAGCTTGACTAAATGTCGCTGAAGACAAACGGAAGATGGCTGCTTTTTCATCTCCTGCCCAAAGTTTCGCAGTCGCACCCTCCCCAATCTCTATTCTCTAGCGCCACCTAGTGGTGGATGGACATGCTGACAACCACAAATTACAGACTTAAAAAGCACATCTCCCCACACAAGCTTTGAATGGCACAAGCAGAGCAGCTGCTGCGTCTGACAGAGGAACAGGAAGGAAAGGGGGCCATGGCTACCCATCTATCAACTATATTTTTTACACTGTCCAAACAGTTCGGGCTGCTGGGCATGTCCCTGTAAAAACCCTGCGTGAGGCCAGGGAGGCTGGAAAACCCTCACTGAGTGGCCCAAGGTCAGCAGGGAGATTTTTGGCTGAGGGGGGACTGGAATCCAGGTGTCCCAGCCTGACATTATGTCAAACTGATCTTAACTTAGTACACGTTTATCCCACCCTTCTTCTAAACAGCTCAGGGCAGTGAACATCGTTTTTATTCTCACAGCAACCCTGCGAGGTAGATTAGGCTGAGAGAGAATGACTGGACCAAGATCATGCAACAAGTTTCCACAGCAGAGTGGGGATCTGAACCTGGATCTCCCAGATCCTAACCTAACACTCTGTTATACAACACTGGCTCTATATGACCTCGCCTGCAGAGCCAGAAGTTGTTTGTACAATAACAAGTGCACACCCCATTCATACTCCACTGAAAACACAACCAGAACAGTCTGTATTGATCAACTGTTAGTGACTGGACCAAGTCTTCTCCTCGTACATTGCCAGAATTAACAGCACTGATTCTGTCTTTGGTGGGTAAGTACCACAGAATCCTCACGCAAATCAGTGGGGGCAACCCACCACGGCACAAGAAGTTCTCTGGGCTGAGAGACCAATGTGATTTCTGTTGAGGCTGAGAACCAACACTATGCATTTCAGGTTCCCTGAATCTTTCCACATCCGTGTTTACTTACTGGAGAAACCCCTTGCCAATGTTGCGGCCTATTAAAATAGCTTTCAACCACAACTGTCTCTGCGCGGTTTATTAATAGGTAGATGGCTTAGATTTTCTGCTAGAAACCTTTCAGGAACTGCAAGAAGATCACTATTCAAAATTCTATTTGTCCTTTGAAGTATTTCACCAGAGCATTTATGGATAAGTGGGCATTCCCTGAACATGTGCTTCAGATTAGCCTTCAATACGCCATACCTTCAGCATATGTCATGTGCTTTGATCTCCATTTTAACTGTCCTGAATCAAGTCAAAGATAATTTGAAGAAGTACAACTCTTGGTTGTCATTTTATGACTGGACCGAGGTTTAACGTTCCATTTAAAGTCCTGTAATTTGTTATCTAGAATAGTGGAAGCTCACATTGCATGTAGTTCTAATCCTCTGTGAGTATTTTCTAGCAGAGAACAGTATGTTCTCTGGACACTTGTAAGTACAGAGTTGCAGTTTGCATGGGAAAGATATTGGGACATTTCTAACAAACAGTTTTGCATACTGCTCAGCAGTAAACATGAAGAACGACTGGCATTATTCAATTTGACTGTGAAAGTTGGGTCTAAGGGCCATTTTCCTACCTGCAGTGGATGACATGCCATGCCAAACATCTTGAAGCAGATCCAGAAACTCATAAGATGCAGATGGGCAAGAACTGATTGAGTTGCCCATGCCTGTCCAAAGGCAGACATCTACACTGATTGAAGTTTCTGGATCAGCTTCAGAGCAAACACTTACTGGGGGCATGACAGCAGACTGATCTCTCTTCTCCTGGAAAAGGGTCATCAGCTTGAAATGATCACGCAGAAGAAACTTGTACCCATTTCTCTGTCAAACACTGGAAGGAATGCTTCAATAATATAGGCCTGAACAGCAGGTTTCTATTTTTTAAAATCTGGTTCTCATATACAAGTTTTACCTTCTTGGAAAGGAAATCACTTCCCTGGGTGTCATAAGCAG